TCAGATGATCCATTTTGTATCGAGGCTCCTTAAGTTTTCTCTCGCTGTCATATGCTTCGAACTAAGCAGTTGCCCACAAATATTTTAAGTGAGTCTAATCCCTGAAGGCCAATTAAAAAGCACGATCCTGCATTAGCACTGGCTTTCAGGGAGGAAGATTTTATGTCAAATTTTAAGCTTTTGAGCATTTCAGTGGATTTGCTTAAAATGCTGCACACTCGAGACTTTGACTGTTATGCGGATGAATTTAATCATATCTGCTGAACTTGGAGTCCATGAAATACAGTGCAGAACAGTAAATTGGAACGTGCGTTTTTGTAAGGAAAGACAAAATTTTTGCCATTTTTGTGAACCACAAAAAACGTCCCAGGAACAGTGAAGCTGTTTCATTCAAGAGCCTGTGTCCATGTAGCTGTGTACCTTGGGAACTGGTTGGTTTTTTAAAGCACTAAATGGAAATATAGGCAAATTGCTGCTTTGCTTATTTATTTGCTGCGAACAGGTACCATGTGTGAGTTAGTTTTTTAGATTTTAAGGGGGGGGCAGTCTTGGAGCAGAATTAGAAATACCTAATTTAAAAGTTTGAATTGTGAAGTTTATTTTTTCAAGAGGATTCTCACTGGGAGGGTATGGAGATTTAATTTCCCTTGGCTTGTATGTATATCTTGCTAACGTGTTGTGAATCCTCTTTCCTTGGAAGGGACTTGAAGGTTTTGTTGAAACTCTTGAAGTTTTTTTGTCTATATTCCATAACCATAAAAAAATTCTGTTTTGAAGATATTATGTGACAAAGTAAATATTATAATGATTCAAAAACAATTAGAGCATGCTCGTAGCCATGCTACTCATCTCATGGCTGTGCTGCTTCAAGTTCTGCTGTGCTTTATTTTGTGATGCCTTTGTGAAACCCCATTACAATATTGAATTAAATATTAAATTAAACCCCGTCAAGATATTAAATCAGAGCATTTAGCTGCTGTTTATTTGACCCAGTCGTTTAACTATCAAGACACTGTAATCTGTTAAATTACCGTGAGATTTATCGTGGTACATTGAACATTTAGCAGACCTCAGAGCTGGCTGTTTCCCCCCAGTTTTGCAGGGTTTGCTGCTGCCCAGGCGCAGCACGGCTGTACCGTCTATGTGCAGAGTTTGCTGCCGATCGGTTTCTCCGTGTCAAACACAACTTTTATTGTGTGGGCCAGGATGTGGAAGAGAGAAATTGAATTATGGACTAATGGAGAACTGCAGTTTCATATTGCAAGAGTTTTTGTGGTGGTCCCAGTTTCAGAATCTATCTTTACGGTGAACTGAGATCTTCAGTGAAGTTAAAAACCATATATTTTTGTAAATGAATGCACTATGTATGTGTTAGACTACATATTCTACATTCACACAACCAGTATTTTGAGTGAAGGAGGTTTTTAGGCTTAACGTGATGCTGTTCTTTCCGATACTGAACAAATATTTCCATTTCTCTTCAGACTTCTTTTTTGACCTCTGTGTGGAGCCTTGTCTGTGAAGGGGGACAGCAGAGTTAATACAGCCTGGAAATTATTTATATTACTGGTTTTACTAATGAAATCAGAAAGCAAGAAACCTTTATTTAAAGCATGATCTTTTCTTTGCTAAGTATTTATATTATTCAGATTTTTCCTTTAACTATAACTGATTCTCATTACAAGGTGCTGATATTACCAAATACAGCTTTTAGACTAAATACGAAACATGCTTTTTTCACACCTCAAGTAGCTGCTGTCTGTTCAAACATTTACATAGCTTAATGTACATAATTCAAAATGTTAATGTTTAATTTTTAAAATTGATGGCTAGTGCAACTCTCTACCAGTTTGTTTTGTTGGGTTTTTTTTCCCTTCAGTGTGAATAGTGTCAAACCTGTGTTAGAGTGAGAACTGGAAACCAACTAAAATGCTTTCTAATGCTTGAAATACTTAAAGTGTCGGATAGCTGGGAAAAGAAAAAGTTCATCAAAATGTTTTGCATTTAAAAATCAACTGCCTTTTATTAACAAAAGACGTCTGGCAGTTTGTATTGATGAGCCACGGTGTTCTGTGCTACATTTTAAGGTTTTAAAAAATCCTCACAGGTTTTTTGTGTGAAGGATCTGAATTTCTGAACTGTTGACCTGGCCGTGCTGCCACAAACTTACCCTTGGTTTCACCACGGTGAACGGCTTCGTATCTTATGTTACCAATCTTTTAATAAAGGGTTGGGTGAGACTGTTTAATGTTGGAAAACAGAATTAGTTTTTTATAAAACTAAGGTAGTGAGTTAACATACTGACAGAAGTTTGTGTAGCTTTACTATAAAGAGAGACAGGTCTGGGCTGTGGTGGGGTCTAGATGACAAAGGTACGCGAGCAATTCTGCTGTTTGTACAGAAAAGGGTTGTGCATTCACTTCACACAAATGTATGTTTCTTTATTTTCCTTTTTCCTACAGTTCTCTACATCCAGTGATTTTCTTCATTCTCCAAAGTTATGTCCCTCTCAAGGAGTACCAGTCAGCGATGAGTTATTTTTTAGTAGAAAAAGACCTTCAAGGAGTTTATTTCAGAATAGTATAGATTTTAACTCTGAGCATTCTTCTGTTTGTGCCGGTAAGTATTAACACAGAAAAGTGTTTGATCTGCCGCTTACAAAATACATTTAGAAGAACCTGAGCATAAATTTGTAGCTTCATGAGTATGGTTTATCATTTGTTGATCATTTGTTTTGTTATTTATTTTCATTTGCTACAAAGAGTTGAGTACTAGGCACAGGGCTACGCCTCCAGCTGAAGCAAGCGGCAGCAGTCCCATCCATGCTCCTGGAGAAGTTTCCAAAAAGCAACAGTGTGGTTGTGTGGACAGATGTATTGAACAAAAGGTCTCGGGAGGTCCCTGAAATACAGAGCTTTCTGCTGCTTTTGTAGAATTGGGAAAAAGAAGTACCATGTAGATCAGCAACAGAGTAATTCAGCCAACGTTCTTTCACACTGTAAAATACAATTTGAATTGCAGATAGAACAGTAAATTAAAAGGAGACACAGAATTTTACTGACTTTTGAGCAAGAATATGTTGTTGGCTAGAATAGCAGTTGTTATCATAAAAGGTATGCTGTCAGGTGTTAGCTGGCAGTGGCGGCAGGGAATGAAATACCGTAAACTGGACAACATGTTGGGAAGGTCATATTTATGTATGTGTCCTGGTTCCAGCTTGGATAGAGTTAATCTCCTTCCTGGTAGCTGGTACAGTGCTGTGTTTTGGATTTAGGGCGAGAACAATGTTGATAACACACCAATGTTTTAGTTGTTGCTGAGCAGTGCTTACACTAGTCAAGGGCTTTTCAGCTTCTCATGCTCTGCTGACTGAGCAGGCTGGGGGGGCACAAGAAGCTGGGAGGGGGCACAGCCAGGACAGCTGACCCCAACTGGCCAAAGGGACATTCCATACCATGGGACGTCATGCTCAGTACATAAACTGGGGGAAGCTGGCCGGGGGGGCTGCTGTTTGGGGACCGGCTGGGCATCGGTCGGCGGGTGGTGAGCAATTGTACTGTGCATCACTTGCTTTGTATAACAATATTATTATTATTATTATTTTAATTCAGTTATTAAAGTGTTCTTAATGCACAAGTTTTCTCACTTTTACCCTACTGATTCTCTCCCCTATCCCACTGGGGCAGGGGGAGGAGAGTGAGCGAGCGGCTGTGTGGTGCTCAGTTGCCGGCTGAGGTTAAACCACGACAGTATGGTAGGCTGCTCATGAGAGCAGACCAGTGCATATCTATTCTAGATTTGCGTATTTTCTCTTTTTGCTTTGTATAATCACCTAGGGTAGAAAGCTGTCTGAAGAGTGAGCTCTAAAGATTGTTTTAAAAAATGAAAAATGTCATGTTTTTGAAAACCAGGTCTGTAGAAGATTGTAGGTATAGTGCTCCACTTAATTTATGCAAGCAGTGTAGACTCAGTGTATTTGAATTGTTTTTTAATAGCTAAAAGGCATGTGAAAAGACTGGGTAAGACCAGGCATGATTTATTCTCTTCACTTGGCAGCAGGTTTTATTCTCTGCTTTGTCTGAGGAGCACTGACATGTGTGGCATGCCAAGTTTGCTCACTGCTGTGCTAGGAGTGACACCACTCTTAAAGAAACTCACTGCATTTTTGGGCTTTAAGGTGTTGCCTTCCTTTTGTTGTCATGTATTCAAAGAAGTGATTGTTTTGGGTGTTTCTTTTGACCCCCCTGCAATTCTCAAAGTTGCAAAAGTGCCCTGGAAAACGGCCAGCCATTTTTCCAGTTTGTGCTTATGAACAGTACTATGAAGTTGCTTAGAAACTCTTGAAGTAAATACTTTCAAAGTAGTTATATTTTACACTGAAAGTTAGACAGAGTCTTAATTCACTATTAAATATTATTGTATATTTTTCATTGAATACCATATGTTAAGTATTTATCTAGTTATTTGTGTTTTTCTTTTGAAAGGTGCTATGGGCTCTCATCAGCCACAAATTTCAGGGAAATGTGGAACACTTGGATATACACAGATACGTGGGAAGAGTGGTAGCGTGGACTCTGATTTACAATTTTTAGGATTAAATAACTGTCAGCAAGACAAAGGTATATGGATTCTAACTGTATCGTAAGTCAGTGCGTGTTATTCTGGAAGTGTCTCTTTATTTCTATGCTGCCTTAAGAAATAAAAACTATTACTAAAACGTTGTTCAGTCCCTATTCAGACATATTTGTGCCTCGTTCCTGTGTAATGCTTTTCATTCGTGGTTATTAATTTGCAACCCACATCTTTGGTATCTGACTGTATCGGTGGTGCTGTAACAGAATCTGAACTTTTTTTGAAAAATTGATTTTTAGAGTTCTGTTAATGGTATAGATCAGATCAGTCCAGCGTGCTAACAGCAAGGGCCACGTCGGAGCCTTGCCCCTCTGAGACTGGTTAACATACCTCTTTTGGTCCCCTCTAAGGTGTGGAGGGCAGCCGAGGTGTCTCAGCAGGAGCGTGTGCAGGAGGAGGCACAGGCTGCTCCTTTCTGCTGAGCACAACACCTGGGTGCAAGTGACCTCGGTGTGCTGCACAGACACTGTGCTGCTGCATGTAAAGCTTTTAATTCTCATATTGTTGTGTTAATTTGTGGTGGTCTCTGTACAGCTTTCGCTGGACAGATATCCAGGGAGCTGCTATGTCAGGTGGCGTTCGCTGCTAGTTTCAAAGGTGAGGCTAGGGATTTGATTGAGTGCACCTTAAGCCGAGAGGTGGAGGCTGAGATAAATCAGGACCTGGAACACATAGAAACTTGTCTGTTCATAAGTAGCAATAATAGTGAAAATGCCAGATGTACACCTAGGGAAGGAATGAACTCACTGTACGGAGGAATAGATGGTAATGATACCAAATCTGTGGACAGAGCCGCTTTGAGTGGTCCAGATGTGTTAGACAAGGGATAGAGCTGACAGCCTTCTTGGAAGATATGTAGGAACTTCATTTACTCAGTTTACTTCTAGCCACTTACGGGCCCTAGGTACTGTGTTTTTCTCATGCCTGTGGAAAGAAAGGAGAAATTTCCTCTTTTTTTTTTTTTCCTCTATAACTACAAAGTCAATGTTCTCTTCTCTTAGTCTCGGTCTTCAGAAGGCTGTCAGGTACTTTGCCCACACTTGCTGATTTATTTCTCTGCAAACAGTTTTGTGCCAGATATTACCCTTACTTGAGCCTTTCTCTGGTAGTACAAGCCACACCTGACTTGGTTGTCTCAGTTTTGCTGCCCTGGGATACCTGGGGAGCGCCGGGATGCTGCAGCCTTGGAAAGCAGCAGGAGCAGAAGACAGAGACCTTGGAGCGATCTGATTTGTAAAGGGACTTTTTTATGCTATAACTAAAGGCATAATTGAATGGTTTTCTTTCCAGTGACACAGACAATTAATAGGTTCCCCCAGCCCGACTCACATTGTCACTTGTTCTCCCTCCCACGCTGTGCTTTCCCATTCTCCCAGTTGTGCCAGTGGGACTGGTTGTGGGGCTGTGCTCTCGGTGAGATGGCCGAGGTAGCCCACCTTACAGTGATCTTTCCAGAGGCTGTCAGGAACTCTGTTAAAACTTGTCCTCTTTTTCACTTGCACGGTTAAAAGCTTGAGTGCAGGCGGGGAACATGCATCTGCTTTCCATGGGAACCGATTAAAACAGTCTAGTTCCAAATCTACATTTACCTTTCCATTTTTGACCTACTGGTTTCTGGGAAAAAATAATTTTTGGAATTTTTTTGTTTTGTTTTTTTTTTTAAAGGAAGGTAGAATTTATAACATTTGTGCTTTATTTGTACTCTTGTATCACTGAGTTTTGAGACTGGTGTTTGCAAATTTTATGCTGTGCAGGCTTGGAATATGGAGCAGCAAGCAGCAGAACCATGTTCAGTCTACTTGCATCATTTGTTTTTTTAAATACAATTCTTCAAAACATGACTGTGAAATAGCTTAGGCTCAAACTCGTTTCATCGAATGCAGAAAAAGGAAATTGATATTTTGAGGGACTATGCAAAATGAAGGTAGCTGATTTCCTGTTTGCTTGGGTAAAATGCTGACCTTCAGTTTTGACTGTCTAGAGGGTGTATTATTTCATTGTAAATTATTATTATAAGAGCTGTCAAAGAGGCTAATTACCACAAATACTATTCACTTTTTCTTTGCTCAGTTTGTGCCAGCCTAAATTTTTCCAGCAAGACCCAGAGAAGTTTTTGCAATCCAGTAGAGCATACGGTGTCCTTCCAAGGTCCTAATGCAAGCCAGGGGGCCTTCATTCTGCCGTCTTATCCCCTGTCATCACCCAGGAACAGTCCAAAGCACGTCTCCTCTCCAGCTGGCTCTCCAAAGAAGTCACAAGATAATACCGTGAACTTCTCAAACTCCTGGCCTCTTAAAAGCTTTGAAGGACTGCCTAAGCCTAGTTCACAGAAGCAGCTTCTCATTCAGAAGCCAGGAGGCAATACAGGTAGGAATGTTGTCAATTTAATGAAAACGGATTTCAGGTTTGCATTTTGAGTGACTCCAAGCAGTGGTCAGAAAACCTACAGTGGCGGGGAAATGGGGAATTACGCGATGCCCCAGTTGCAGCTGGAAACGTGAGGGTTTTATAGCTGCACTATTCTGGTCACATTGCTGGAGGCTTCTTTCAAAAAGTGAAGTCTTTTTATTTGGATGGTTTTAAATACTGGCATGTTCTGTTCCTTTTGTCTTTTAAATAAGTGAGATAAAGCATAATATGCCTCAGCTCTGCTTTTCTTGTCAGTAATGTATCAGTGAAAAGTTTGCCTTCAAGCTAAAATAAAACCAAACCCCAAAATCTAGCCCTTTTAAAGGGAGCCAATACAGAAATAACTGTTACTTTTAATACTCTAATTAATACATGTGCAAGAAAATATTATTCGTTGCATTTTGACTTTTTGCCTCTTTATTTGCCTTTGGAAACTTATGTGTCGCATTTCCCCCACTCAGAATAGCTCTTTAAAACCTGGTTACAAACAGCTACATCTCTAACGAGTGGAATCGGTGCTGATTTCACCCTGATTTACACTGACAGCTAATGGCAGAGACTGCTATTTATGATCTGATTTCCTCTGTCTTTAAAGACCTCACGCACACATTGGTTAATAGTTTTAAGTTTATTTAATTACAATTGCTTAAACAATTTTGCTGATTTCTTTTAAATACTTCCTAAAGGCTTTATTTTAGCTTTAGTATCTGTTTAGCTTAAACTGATTCCTAGTCACTCATGAGGCTTACCTTCTGTAAGCAAAGTAACAGTTTCCATGTACGATTTTGCACTGATTTAAAGAAATCTGTTTTAAAATTCATCTTCATTGAAACATGTATTTTTGCACATATGTAGAAAATTTCTAAATTAATTCTTTGGAAGTCACCTGTCCCTGGAATGCATGTAATTTTATCTTGCAGATGTGTGTTCATCGCTTGTTGGTTTTCTTCATATTATCCATATGCATTTCAGGTTTTTTCTGTTTCTTTAGAGTAACTTCATTGTTGTTATAGCAGCTTACAGGAGAGTTTGTTAGGGCGCCAGTCTTCTTTTTTCCTTAATTAAGAAAGTTAAGTACCTTTTAAAGGTATGAAGTATATGTTGGTATGCACATGCATGAAACACTATATTTTTTAAAAGAAGGAGACACTAGAAGTAGAAGAGATTGGTAACCGAGCTTGAAATGCAGGGAGATGGAAAAGGTAGAGTCAGGAGGTAATAGAAAATACCATGGAAGGAGGCAAGTCTGGTAACATCCTAATGATTTTGTAAAACTAAATATTGAAAAACGTGCGTAAGTAAGTATTCAGGAGTGGGGGTTTGGCACATTTGGAAAATTGATGTTGGAGGAGGAATGTTGAAAGTTTTTCAAATTATGAATGGCATAAAAATAAAGTTGGATAGGGAATCACTATCTACTTTTGTTCATGTGAGAAACATACTTTCATCTGTGTGTGTGTGTATATGTGTGTATATATTTATACACATGAATATGTGTATACATGCATACATGAAGGAACTAAGGAAGGGGTTCGGTGACATCAGGTTTTAAATAAAAGGAAGTAGTTTTTTAATGCTCATTGTGGAGCCGACTACTGCAGGCTGCTGAAGACGCCAAAAGCATGAAGGAAGTGGACGTATGTACCAGGACGGTGGGTCAGCTCGTGCCAAACCTCTGACTGAGGAACTTCCTAAATCCTGTCTGAATCTCTTCAGTGTTGGTTTCTTACCTTGTTAGGGGACAGGCCTTTCGTCTGACTCAGTACAGCTGCTTTTATGTTCTTACTGGTTTTATTCAAATGTGCTCATACTCAGCCAAACAGAATGTCCTTGAAATGCATTTATAGTAGTAAATAAAATTGCATGCGTAAGTATGTTTTTTAACACTCACCTCATTATAAAAGGAGTTTTCCGGTGTGACATAGAAACGAGGCGTGGAGTTTATTCTGGCGAGTGCTGTGTTCCTGCCACCCCTCCAGAGGACTGACATCTGCTTGTGTCTTCTTCAGGGGAGAATTTGAAGGAGAAACCTTCTCCTCTGCAGCTGAAACCCACCCTGGTGAGACACCCAACCTCCCGCAGGGGCCTGAACGGGACCAGACCCGTCCCCCCCATACCCCGCCTCGCTAGCCCGCTGCCCGATAAGATTGAATTAAATGTGACAAAGTGGAGAAAGGAAGAGTGTGAGGACGTGTGGCTGAATGAGGTGGACAGGAAGCTTGCAGCTGATCTTTCAGAGCTAAATGTTGATGGCGAGGAAGTGGACCAAGAAGAGGTTGGTTTAAATATGACACAGCGCACTTTTAATAGTTGATATATTATAAGCTTTTTGTTTTTAAACAAGAGCCAGAAAATGAGAAATGTTTCTGACTTAAATTTTGTGACGCTGTCATCGCTACAGCAGGTTTTCAGTGCGATACCGTTGGGTGTCTGATAGAAGCTAAGTAAAGCAATCAATACTGCTGTTGAAGCACACTTCCCGTGTTTGTTCCAGACATCTTGGTTTCCCTTGTTTTTCTCAGAGCCAAAGTCGTAATGTTTTCAGTTACTGTAGTACCAAGGCAGAACTGCAGGCCTTTATACAGCTTCTGTTCTCGTTATCGTTGACTTCATTTTAAATTTCATGTCAGATTTAAGTAATAATCCTTTCTTCAGTTATAACAAGGGGCCCAAAATAACGAATAACTTCCTTGATGAAGGTTCATTTGACTCAGCCCGGGAGTTTCCTCAGCCTCCCGGCTTTGCTGAAGCGGGCTGTCCCTGATACCCATGCAGCGTGTCCCAGCTCTCTGGGAATTCAGTCATTTTTTCATGGAGTAAAATGAGAAGAACCGATGTGAAGCTGGGTGATGTGGTGTCACCTGCAGCTGTTTGATATCTCACAGGCACGTTTGGCATTAGGCCTGGCAGGTCAGCATCCCCCTTGTAAATGGAAATCCTCTGGTAATAATTTGGGCCCATTATGTGTATTCAGCGGCCAGTGTTTTGAGTGTGCCACTCAACCTGTGACTTAGAAAATATTTGAAATATTAAATACCTTTAAAAATCTATCCCTTCTGTGACCCATGAGACTTGTCAAACAGACTTACTTTAGCATTTCCCTGTACTGGTCCATGAAATGCTTTGCAGCCAGTGAGGCTGTAGATCCCACATGGCTATTTCTCAGTCGCATGGGTTGTCCAGTGAGATCCCCCTGCGTACGGAGCCAGTGTGTCTGCTGACCCCCGCCACTGTGCCCAGTACATGCCGCAGGATCCTCTCGCTCGCTCTGTTGCCCAGGTCTCTCAGATGTTTGAGAAATACCAAATAGCTGCACCAGTGTAGGACACAGAAAAATACTGCAGAGGCATGCCGGATTATTTCAGGAGGTGGTGGGGAGGTGGAACTGTATCCACACTACCCTCATCAGTACAAACCGAAACCACTGCAGTGTGGATTACGAGAGAGGCATAGGGATCAGGTATGACTGGATTTTGTATGATCTTCCCTGTATCATCCCGTGCAACACGTCCTTATTTCTGTCACAGTTCATAGAAATTGTTTGAATCTCAAATCCTGTCTTCAGTCCCCGTGGATCTGAGAACAGTTCCAGTAGGACTTAACGGCTTTGCCTTACTATCTTTATCTTCCACGCTGTAGTCACTACTGGAAGTAATTTAGCTGCTAAACAGATAGGGGAATAATTTTTTTTACATCAAATATATTCAGTAAAAAGAGGAGAGAATATGCAGCAGAGCTCTAGTCATTATAGATTTTCCTGCTTATTTGAGTAGGAGCTCTGCTTGCCAGGCACAGTTTTCAGGATTCACTTCTGCATGTTGTGCAGCTTCGTGCAGTTCAGATGTGAGAAGCCTGAGGTCCCAATTGTGTGTATTAGCAGCCATCAAACACCTTCTTTAGTCTATTAAAAGAGACAAGAGCAGCTGCTGTATTTTTTCAGGAATCTGTTCTTGTGTTTTGCAAAGTTAAGCTAGGATACAGTGTCTGCGGGAATTTGCATTTAATAGTGTGGTTATTCTTTGAAGCAAAACAGTGAAAGGGATCGTTGTAATACTGTATAACCTATGTACATATTCAGTCACATTGCCCAACAGAGGCATGTGCACTGAACTGCCGTGAATTGAACACTCAGAAACATACTTCCTTTTGCTTAAGAAAGCTTTTTTCCTATGCAGTGAATAAAAACTGTCATTTTGTTTTCAATCGTGTTTAGATGCAGAATTCACTTAGATCTTTACGAAACAGCGCAGCTAAGAAGAGGGCAAAGCTAAGCAGCAACATTTCAGATCTTGAAAGTCCTGATTCTGCTCTTAAACTTGATCTGTCCGTGGATTCCCCCTCCCACGCTTCGTCCCCGGGCGCGGGCTCTTACAGCGAAAGCGGAGTTTACAGCCAGGAGTCTCTGACTTCACCCGTGTCCACGGTCCCCCCGAGGAGGAGAATAACGTGAGTGGAACTCGTATGTTAACGCTGCTTTGAAATTCTCACACGCAGCCTCTGCTGGTGTTAGTTAAATATTAAAGGGAGTGAAATCTGTAATACATTTTTTATGTAAGATTGCTTTGCTTAATAGCTTGATTTTTATACGTGAATTATTTTCCTATCTAAAAATACATTGCTCTGTACAATAGCTGCTTAATTATATTATTCTCATTTGTGCTGGCTTTTAATTTTAAAGAGTTCCCTGGTGCAGCCATAGTAACACAGTGCAGTTGCTAAAGTACTGCCAGTGGTAGTAAATATTTTATTAAGACTTTAGCCTGCCATAGAAGTTATGTGAACCATAGCCTAAACAAATGAGTAAGAAGGAGAATGAGTTAAGAGGAAGAATAAGGTTTGCTTACCATAGCCTGGAAATTGGAGAAGGAATGGGTTGGTTTTTTGCAATAAGAGGAGGACAATGTAGATGCTTCTTATTATTGCAAATCACAAACTGTTTCCATTTTATTACTATTGTTAATTTAAAATGCCTTCATAGAGCTCTTCTAAAAGAAATTGTGTGGTGACACATGCTACTCTGATTGTAAAGAGCAGTGACCCAGTTGGTGATTAGCAGTATAAACTATTTTATTTTTTAATGAAATAAAAAAGGTTTTGAGGATTTTTGCAAATTTTGCAGTACAGAATCTCCTTTTCTGCTGTCAGAACCCATGATAAAGCTGCTTGTAGCTCTGATCCAAAGATATCTTTTATTTTTATGTGTACTAAATGCATCTTTATATAACTGGCATACAACTGTATTAACAGAATAGGAAGGGAATATACAAAAAGGTTTTTGAGACAGAGTGAGACTGGAATGATTCAGAAATGGAGGATTTTCACAGGATTTTCTTCCCTATATGCATTACTGCTGAATCACAGTTTTAAAAATAATCTTTAAAATGAAAAATGCTAGAATACCTAAAAAGTCAAGACTATAAAATTCTGTGTATGATGGTGTTCCAGGCAAGGTTTTGACTAGGACACATTCTATACAACATGCCATTTCCATTATTCAGTGACAGAAGCTCAATGTTTTACAGGATTCAAAGATACAGGAATTCTGAACTAGCGAGGAAGAAAGGGGACAACTGGCAGGAAGGCTGAATTTGTAGAAGTGACAAAATATATCCCAGCAGACCTTAAAAGCCTTGTAATGTTCATAAAAATGTCTGAGAGTTTAGTTCAGATGCTGGTTTGCGAGCATTGGAAATTGGCATTTTCTGTTCACAAAATCTGTGTAGCTGGGCAACAAGAATGTAGGCTGCTTCTGTGTATTGACTTTTACAGGGATCAGTTTATCCACTGATAAACTACTGTGAGGAGTGGGACCTCGATACTGGTATTAGTGAAGTTTCTGAAGCATGGGGTTTCCTCAAGATCTTACAAGCAAGTTTTCTAGTTGTGTGTATTTAAGTCCTAGCAGAAAGTGGAACAGCTGCGGAAAAGACCTCCAAGATCATCGAGTCCAACCGTCAACGTAGGCGTTGTTACGTAGGTGTGCATAATATTTAACAGTGCAGGGCTCTGGGTTGAACCACCTTTAATATTCAAACGCATCATTTTAGAAAAGAAGTATCAAGATTGTCTCGTAGATAACAGCATTCTCCTGGTGAATGTCTGTGTGCTAGACACTGAGCTGAAAACAGCTCATTTCTGGAAGTGGAAGGTTAGTGGATTTGGTCACTGTCGTTTGCCATTCTTTGCCAGATCGGAACCAGCTTCGTCAGTCCCCTAAGCCAAACGATTCCTTAGCTTTTTGAATGTATGCTAAATTTAGTCCTAGTGTGAAGTTTACTCTTAAGGGTTGTCTTTATGGTGTTCTTCGTAATGGACCTGCTCATCACATAATTTCTATTGAATTAATTTTCTTTTTCCAGTCAGTGTGAACATTTGTGGAAGTATACTGGAAATATTTGTCCAAGTACACTGGGGAGGAGAAACTGAAATCTATTGATGTCTTTGCTACAAAGTGTCATTTAACTGGGCTCTGACTAGTGTGTAGAATTGGATTTGTAAAAATTTGTTTTATATTTTAAAAGGTCAGACACCTTTCCACTACTTGGCAGCAAATCACAGCCTGCAAGAGTATCGTCAGCAAGAAGCAGAGACCCAAATGTGGCAGAACATAACTCCAGCACAGGTATTTCGCTGTGCATATCAATGTATACCTTGCTTGTATAAGGTATAGATGTAACAGAATGGTCACTTGATGTGTCTGTTCTTACTTGTTCAATCAGCTCATGTTCCTTCAGCACTTAAAAAAAAGGTACCTGTAGCGGGCAGAAACCGATTATTTTTGATTATTTATGTTTAATCAGTTTTGATTCAACTGGATGGAGGAAAGGAACTGAGGGAGCTGTGTCTACAGAGGTCTTTTCTGACCTCTCTTCCCAAAGACTGCTCTGTTGCATCCCTTTGCAGCCTCAGCAGCTTTGTATTTTTTCCAAAAAGCTTACAAAACTTAGTTCAGTTAAGATCGGAGGGCATCCTACACGCCTGAATTTGCAATTCACATTAAAAAACTAGTAGTTGCTACTGAGACTCATGATCTTTTTTCAGAAATTGAAGCTATTGCTCCTGATTCTAGCTAGGGCCACTTTTCTCAGGATAAATTAGCAAATAGGTTTGTCAAGTAACAGCGTAAGTCAGAAAGCAAATACTGCAACATATGTACTAATGCATGTTGTGGTTAATGATTTTGCATTTGTTATACGAAAAGACCTTCTGTGAGAAGTTGACCTTCAGTGTAAAATAAAGAGCAGCACATTTATTTTGCTTATTGAGCCAGTTAATCAACCAGAATGCACAGCACTGGACCTCCCGTGAAGAGCTGACAGCCTACTAATGATAAGGTGAATGTAACACCTGTAATACAGCTAACTGGTAAAGAAGGTCCTTTGCTCCCACTACTGACCGGACCTGGCCCATCACACAAGTCAAATCTCAAAAAGCTCCAAATTTTTACACTGGGACTTGGAGAACTTGTAAAAATCGGTTTGGTATTTAACTGGTCTCATCAGATGAAAGTTTTTTTCTAACATTGAATGTAAATCCCCCTTGCTGTAACTTATGTCATTACATTTTTATTTTATTTCGGAGGATGGAATATTTTCTTCTTCCAAGCCGCTACCTTTTATTGTATTTTTCTTTCCCTCTTTCATTTTCTGTCCTTAGACTAATTCCTGTTTTTTTCTAGCTTTCCTTCGTAGGTCAAACTTTATGGACTTTTTAACTGCTGTCATCTAGGCTGTTTTCAACAGATCTACCTCTTTCTTGAAATGCAGTACCCGTATAATACCCCTTGTGCACTTAGAACTGAAAGGGTAGTTATGGTTGTGTTGTTTTAAAACATGCAAAATCAGTCCTGTCCTACCTGAGTCTTGCTCTTCTTGGATCATTCTTCTACTTTATCATGAGCTCCTTGAATTCAGATCCTGTCCTCAAGCGTGCGTGTATGCTTCCCATTTGCTGACCTTTGTTTGAATTCAGCATGCTGCCTTATTATCCTGCTGTTTGGGCAAAATATTGGATAGTACCGGGTCCTGAACAGACTGCAGCAGAACCCTGCTTGATACATCCCTCCATTTGGAGAATGAAGCTTTTGGTAACTTCTCTGCATACGTATGCCTGGGATGATATATGGCATCTCTCACTTCTTTCCTGCCCACAAGGTCTGTTGCTGTGTCATAAAAGGAGACCAGGTTTCTCTGATCATACTGTTTTCTGGTGGGTGCTTCCAAATACATTATTTACCCTGACACAGTCCTGGGAACCAAATTGCCCAGCATATGGGTCAGTTGTTCTCTGGCTCATTCTTCAGCTTCTTCCTTTTTATTAAAGAATTTAACACTTTTGCTTTTTTCTGTTCTGGAAATTTATTTGTCCCTTACTTGCTAATTGACTTGCTAATTGAGCTCAGATTGCTTCAGCTGTTTCTCTAAGATGAATTTTACCAGCTTCTCTTAGCTTTGTTGTAACAGAATGGCAGCTCTCAGACATTTCTTACTTCCCAAATTCTTTCTGTAACATGTAAGTTTGTGCAGCTTTTAATAGTTGACACCTTGAAAACCTGTCTGCCTGCCGTCAGGCCCGTAGCTCGTCTTTCCCCCGGGGTCCTGACAGTTTCAGAGGCCAGAGGGTGCTGTTGTACCAAATACAGCAATTAATGGATCAGTCCTGACGTGTGAGGTCTTAATGTTGATATATGAAACACTATAACAACTAGACCTCATTGTGACAGTGCAGAAATTCATGGTCAGGGAGTTCTTGGACCTTCAGGGGATCCGGCCGTATAGTAATTTTCCAGAGCATCTCACGCCAGCCCAGATCAGGGCACCGTCCATAGTGTTCCTTGCTGGGAGAGCCTCACCATCTCAAGAATCCCACAGCAAAACATTCCCTTTGGTTTCCATCCCCTAGCAGAACTAAACAGCCTGCTCCCATCCCAGTTCTCAGCCGAAGAAGAGAACACAAGGAACCTTTTTAAGGATTTCAGTACGGCTCTTGCTCTCACGTGGATGTGGTTGGGTTGACAGTGACGGCCACCAGTCCAGAACTTCAAGACAGATGGGCGCCGGCGGGTGGCAGGAGATGCATCGGTACCGTCACGTCTGTGGCAGGGGGAAGCAGAACCGCTGCCTGGTACCCCTCGTAGCACACTAAGGGAGACGCCTGGGTCACTCTAGTTGCTGGGATTACCGGAGTTAGGTCAGCCTGTCACCTTGGTCGTGCCTGTCAGTCCCTTCAATTAAATGGGGGGTTAGTTCCAGGGAATTTGTGGAATATGTAGTAAAAGCACGTATATGAAAATTCTTCTGTCTTTTTAGGTATTTTAATTTTAGGGGTATTTGGAAAAGCAGAAATGATCCTTTAAAGGATTCCTGAAGTAACTAGTGTTTGGTTGGTTTTTGTTTTTAACCAAAACCAAAATGTATTGAGAACGTTTTGCAGGCATAAAAATGCCCAGTTTCTGTTGTCTGTAATTGTAACATAAAAATGTGTTCTATGACTTCTAGGGTACATAAATGGAAAGATTTCTTGTGTTTAACTGGTATTTTACTGTTTTCACTTAGTTGACTTCTGACTTAATTTGGCTTTTAATGCTAAATCACTTAGTATTCAGTTGTTCAGATTTGAAAGACTTCAAAAAATAATTTTTCAAGCTTTGAGTTAGATTTTCAACCTGTGTTTATCTGTAGATGAAAGCCTTTGCATGTGAAAAAGGAGTAGAGCCCAAGCATCTTTGTTGAAATGCTCAGATTTCTGTAGGAAAAAATGCTCATACTATATGCATAAAACCAGTCTGAGGGTCTCTGAAAATGTAACTATTTGAGAATGTGGTAGTGCACAGGAAAAACTATTTCTAATTTTTTTTTAAATATTTGACTTTTTTCCTTTTGCACGGCTAGCATTTCATGATAAGGGGACTTCTAACGTTAGCGTAGTTGGCCAACATTTGAACTGTGGCAATGGATGTGGAGATTGTGAGGACAAGAAGCGAGGAGAAGTGTCATGTACTGTTTTTAAAAGTCAAAATATGGAACACCAAAGCAATTTTAAGCATTCAAAAGGTTTGTGAGTTTGCTACATTGCTGTTCATCTGAGCTCTCATTTATGGCAAAAACTGAGGCTGTGTAGAGCCTTTTGTAAAACAGGTTTTATAGAAAATACATTTCAGGGAGTTTAGCATGGTTTCCTCTTTTCTAGTCTTTATGCTTATGCTAACAAGTTGGGTTTTTTTCTGATATTAACTGAAATTAGACTGCCAATTAAATTGAAATTAAAAGTCAATTGATAGTACATGGCATGAAAAAAGGACCAAATTGCTATATATCTCAGTCTGAATAAATGAACAGCTTTAAAAGTTTGGTTTTAAATTACTCTGTTGTTCATTGCTAAAATTAAGGAACTTAAACCATTATACTTTATGTTTCAGTTTTAACTGGGTCATTTTAGTGCATCCTAGGAGCTACTGTTCCCTACGTCAGAACTGTTGTGTGTATGATATGGATGTATTTTCCAACTCTAAGCTTGTTAGAATAGAGCAGCAACTCTTTTTTTTTTTTAACATCAAAAGTAAAACGTGGAAGTCGGTTTAAGGAGCGTACGGTTTCACTGTCTCTTGTTCAGATCTCCCTCATAGTCGCTAAAATAGATACCAAGTAACCATGTTTTAGTGACAAATACAAAATTAAATAGCAATATTCCACATGTTAATAGACATTGAATAATGAAGATCTTTGTCCCAATAAGATTTTTTGTTTTCTCCATCTCTTGTTTCAAGATTAAACATGGACAGTTTTGTCTATTCTCAAGGTTTTATAGAAATGGTGGAGTGCTATTTTTTTGTGAAACATTTAAAGCTGAGCAATGGAAGTAAAGTTTATAATCAGATTTGTAAACCCGTCTCTTTTTTGTTAACACCTGCTTATCCTGTGAAATGGAAGTCTGTACGTTTTTCGGGCTAGAAGCTGAGGTTAGGACAGAAGGTCCTGATCTGGGGGTAGGTTCCAAAGAGGATCCAGTCTTTGATGCACGTTCATTTACAGTCTAAGAGAGAATTGCTCATGAAGCCTCAAGAATTATGTTCAAGAAAATCCCAAAAGACCAATTTTGACAGTTCTTGAATGTTAAAACTTGGAACATTCAGAAGCCAATGATTGGGTTTGTGGGAGGACAAAGTAACGCTTTCAAGAGAAACCTTTTCACTTGATCTTTTTTCTTGTAAAGCATAAAAAGGAGAGCTCCAAAATTAAAACTATGTAATCAGGTAATTTGTAAAGTAGAGAGGCATCTGTCATACTCTTGCCTGTCATTATTTTTGGCAAACGAAAGATTGAGGTGAGGGCAGAAAGCGTAACAGAGCTGCCAAGAGTCCCGGATTGTTGAGGTGCTGCAGCTTGCCTGGTGGAGGGCTATTGCAGGTTCTGGGTTCCTTCTTGAAGCTGTCAGAGATGTTACGGCAGGGGTAGGTGTAGACAGAGGGCTGCCAGTTTACCGGAGTGTTTCTCAACTGGGGTGGTTCAGTAGTCCACTGGCTTCATTTATGCACTTTCTAGTAGGTAATCAGGCTTTCCTAAATCATCTTCTCTGTTTAGAAATTTCAGATTATTCAGTTTAAATAGCAAAAGCAAACGGTGCCCTTCTTTTGTCACAGGCTATCATTTTTATTGCAACTAGTGTAGCCAATATAGAAGTACATAATATATGTGACCCACTTCGGTGAAGAATTTGAGGGACTGCTAATTTATATGGGAAACAGCATTAAGTGCTGCTTTGGGGAAAAAATATTTTAGCAAATTCTGTTTTGATTCAATTGTGCTGAATTATCTAAGAAACAGTGCTATACGTCCACTAAGTGAGTTAGAAACTGGGTTTTTTCAGTGGAATCAGTGGATTTATAAATCCTCTTACAAACGTTGGTTTTCTTTATAATCTTTTGGCAGAAATTTTGTTTGCTATATGCTTTCCATGATTTTGAGGATATCAGTATTTAGTAAATCTTGTTAACATCAGTAACTTGAAAATAGACTGGTTCATAAAAGCGATAAATTCAGATGTCAGTGTATGATGACATTTTAGAAAAATAAAACATGTACCAAAGCGTAAACTACATGATTTACATTGTGTGATTTTTTTTTTTTGTTAAGGTCTTGCAGAATCAACGTCTAGTTTTCCACAGATGAACAATCTAGATTTCATTTCACCAAGTGTGCTGTCTGAAGATGCAGTTGTAATTGTTGGTAAAGGTATTACAAAACCAAAATTATCTCCTGTATCTCATCATGTTATTAAAATGAGGGAAAATGCACCTTTATAGAGTGGGAAAAGAAAAAATAGATTCTGTACAACATTTTAGATTGTGAACAATCTCCAGTTTAAACGGGTATAAAAAGAATTACGCTTGAAAGTTTTCCAGTTACTGGATATGCTATTCCATTCCAACAACAAAGAAGGGCAGCAAATTAAGAAGGTTAGGTCTTGGTTCTAGCTCAGCGTGCACACGTGTACGTGCATCCATCCTACTCGGTAGAATAAGGTAAGAGTACCTTTGGGTGGAAATTGGCACTAATAGTACAGTAGCAATGTTTTTATCTTCTTGAATTACTTTTGGTTTTCTTTAGTTTTTGCTAGGTTCTGCTGAACGAAATGGTTATTTTGGTGAGGGCACAACATGATATGCCTTTCAGGTGTTTTTGGAAGCCCTCCTCCTGCACGAACATACAGCCAGTCCATAACGTGTGTAGCGAATGGAGATGACCAAGCTCTCAAAGAGGAGACTGAGCCATCATCAGGGATCTCTGGGAGAAGCATCCAGCAGAACAGTGCTTCTCATTTCCGTGTTGAAAATGAAAAAGAGGTAAGAATTTCAGAACTTTTTTGTTGTCTCACTTCCTGTTTTTATATGTATGAATACAGCTCGATACAGTTTTGCAGTCTCTATGTTATGGTAAATAAGAGTTTGATTAAAATAGGCTATAGCCATCAAGCTGCTTCTCCCTGCTTTTTCTTTTTGGTTCCACCTGGATATTTTATAATGGCAAATTGCTGTGTCAGAAGCTTCCCAGCTAACTCGAAGTCTGTGGGAGAAGGGCTGCAGGAGGGAGTGGAGCTGGAAAATGTCCTCTTCTCTGACTCCCACAGCACATAGAAATGTGGAAGGAGGAACTGGCTGGGTTTGATCATGTCTTGTTTTCTGGATGGATGTATTAATCTAGCTCCATTCGTAGGTTTTTCAAAAAACACTGTCTGAATATCTGTCCCATGATATGGTTTCATGAGGAGTGTTGCTGCTTTGTTAAACACTATTTACATCTGCTATAACATGGAGCAAGATTTATCTGAATGAAGTGTGATACAGATTTTGAAAAATTTGAAATGAAAATCACAAGTCTTTCGGAAAGCATTTAAAATAACATTCTCAGATGTCTAAAACTTTAAGTTAATGATAAACAGTGTCTTAAGTTTTGAATTTCCACTGAAGATATGAATACTCGGATGGATCAAATTCAAAGGAGTAAATGGAGGAGTGTATTAAATTTTACTAAGTTTTCATGAGGAACTGTAAGCGTCTTAAACATATAAGAGAGTAAGGTCAGATCACAGTGTTAAAGACCACTGTTTGAAAAAAGACCCTGTGTGCTTAAATATGAGTGAGTTAGCCCAGCCTGTGTATTTGTTAGTTAAAATTCTAGGAAACTACACAGCGCTGCCAAGGAATGGAAGACCTTGTCTTGTAGACCTTAGTTCTCTAACTATTCAGATATTTCAGAGTAAGTGATTATTTCCCTTAAATGTTCAAACCTGGAGTGTTGCTTCTTTTTGCCAGTAGGACTACTTATCATGCAGAAAGCATGCATTCAGCTCTTTTCAGGATTGGATTCAATATTTATGTGAATAAATTTCCTTTTGCTCTGCAGAATAATGGTGAAAATAGTAATTTTCCATGCTTACCTTAGACAACATCAAGAACTGCGTAGTAAGTTATTGGGTAACTTGGGCATTATATTATAGTGCATATGATAACGGGTGCATTAATTTTTTGCAGCTGAAAGTTGCCATGTCAAAATCTGCTCAGGATAAGATGAGGCGGAAGAAGAAAGATGAAAAAGAACACAGTCATAAAGAACATCAGGAAGTCAAAGACCTTGAAGAAAAGGAAGAAAACCCTTGGGAAAGACTTAAACTGAATGAACCAGAGAAAATGACAACAGAAAGTGAGGATTAGTGTTTCTCTTAAATGAATAATACACTGTTAAATGCTGCTGAAATGGAAATTAAAATTCTGTGATAATTACCAAAAATCATGACTGTTTAGTGTGACATAAGGTGTTATGAGAATTAATTTTACACTGCAGTTTACTCTTTAGCCATTTGTGGTCAGTCTTATAATGCAGATGGTGGAGAGTAAAGTGCTTATGGGAAATATTTGGAAGACTGTAGTTAAGAAAAATTTCAAAAGACAAATTAGGACTGAAAATACTAGTTTTTTTCCTTTTTTCTGATTTGTTGTTGTTGTAGTTTGGACATTTCCTTCTATTTTCTAGAGTTAAATCTCTGTGGGGATATATTAACATCGTCAAGAAATGTATCTTTGTCATTAGAAAATGTTGCCTTGAATCCTTCATTAAAAAGAACATCCAGTTTGAAGAAGACAAAATGTTCAGCCTTGCTAGATTCTGGTAAGCTGTTACAGTAACCTAAAGTCTGTTAAAATATTTGGATACGTGGAGTGGGACAGTTCCAGAATGCAATCAGGGTCAATATGATTAATACATACAATGGACAGTCCTGGGATGCTCTGGAAGATTAGTGCTTTGGGGGTGGTGGTGAAGGGATTAGAATTCCTCATTGCTCCCTTGAAACATTTTTCATGTATAATTTGTTAGGAAGATGTTTGAAGCATGAGAGGGTTTTTTATTTGCTCAGCAACTTAAATGATGTAATGTATTAACGGCAAACTGACTCCCTTCTGTCTCCAAGAAAAACATTTCTGGGTACGTTTTGTCACTGAGATGCCTTTAAAATACGCAGTAGAAATCTTTTCAGAATTGAAGCTCATACTGATGATGGTCAAAGGTCTTCAGAATTTCTCAAGTGGCTCTTTAAGTTTTACTATATTGTGTCTTACCACACTGTTCTTTAGCACATTGTGCATCCGTTTTTACACTGAAAAACCCAGTACATTTGTGTTTGCGGCTTTTTAAAGTGGTAGTTGTTTGCAAAAAAAAAATCATTCACGTCAATGAAGTACTGAATGATCGAGGATGTAAGTGGGAAAGCGGCCTTTTTGAAAGCCTGGTCCCTTAGTAGCAGCAGTCTATATATACCTCAAACTCTTAATATTTCCTTCCTTTGAATGAATTGTTCTCTTCAGATTATGCTGTTTGTTATGCTTTATGACTTTGTAGATGAAATTCCTCTTGGGGCACAAGGGCGCTATAAAGACCGGACCCCATCAGTCACTCATAGCCCCGAAATAATGGACCCGTCAGAACTGCAGCCCTTTTCAAAACCAGAAACGGCACTGACAGAAGCCTTGACACTTTTAGCTGATGATGACTGGTAGGTGTAAACGTCTATCTACAACCTGAATCGAATGCAGAAGGCGTTTGTTTTGATAATTTACTTTTAAAAAAACCAGCAAAATGGACATAAGATCAAAAACAGTGAGAAGGATTGCAAGTGATACGTGAGAAAAAAGAAAAAAAGGGTTTTTTAGTCCAAATCTAGATTAAACCATAACTGTTGTAAATTGAGGCTTAATAGCTAAGCTTTCAGAGACATGGAGAGATGCCTAAGTTTAAGCACTCTTCTGGAGAGGGCCCCCACCAATACCTTCTTGCCATTTTCTGTGGAATATAAGGCTTCACTGTGCTCTGACTGGCGGAATGGGGTTACAATGCTGCTGCCTTTGCAGCTTGGGGAAGGAAAGTAATCCTTCAATGGCCACTAGTGCAGGCTGTGGACAGAACTGTAGGAAAGAATTGAGAGACTGGTGTATTAAAAAAGTCCTACTACCGCATTAAAAGAAAGACTCACTTTGAAAGAATTTCCTACATTATATGTCATTGCTTTATTTTACAATCTAATTTGTTTGCTATTTGGTTTCTTAGAATTCTGTGTTTTAATGTTTTGATGAAAATTTGCAAATGTTTTGAATTTAAATATTTTTTTTTACATAGGGAGAAGAAAATCGAAGGTCTGAACTTTGTTAGATGTTTGTCTGCCTTCCATGCGGCTATTCTGACTGCAAAGCTACACGAAACAAGTTTGGCTGTGGCTCAAGAGGTTAAATTTTACTATCAGAATATTTCACGGACTATATGTCTGTATATGTATTTTATAGCTCTCAGATATGCTGAAGTGAAATGGTATGTTCATCTGTGGTTAGTTTTCCAGTCTCAAAAGGATGAGTTTGTCGTTCAGCAAAGCAGTTCATGCTTCAGATACCAACACTTGATCTGATTTGCTAAGAGACTGAAAAAATTTAGATTGTAACTTTATAACATTTTTCATGTGTATGTATTTTAATTCTCACACATTGTGAATCAAGTTAGAAATGTATTTCTCGGTTGCTTTTAATGTTACTTAAAAATTACAAAGGGAAACATTAAGCTTTACTTATTTTAAAGTATATTTTATAAACATTATTCATTGTTTGTTTGGGTTTTTCCTGTGTGCAGGTCAAGAATTTACGCTCAGGTGTTTCTCGAGCTGCTGTGGTCTGTTTAGGGGATTTGTTCACCTACCTGAAAAAGAGCATGGATCAAGAACTAGATAATACAGTAAAAGTCCTTTTGCACAAAGCTGGTGAATCCAACACATTTATAAGGGAAGAGGTAGACAAAGCACTGAAGGCTATGGTTAATAATGTGACTCCAGCACGTGCACTTTGTTCTCTTATAAATGGAGGGCAAAGGTAATTCTTATAAAGACTTTATAAAGAAATAACTTGTGAATAGATTAAATTTATCAAATACAGTCTTTAAAAAAAAATCAAAATACAGTAGGCAGAAATTTGAAAATATAGTAAGTCAGCTCTGCAAAACTTCTACCCAGGGCAACGTTTGTTGACATAAAAGGTAGCCTGCCAAACTGTACTTTATATAAGAAGTTGGCTGTTGATTTTGGAGCTTGGTATGTTTTCTGGTCATTTTGCAACACTTCAGTAATTTGATTCACTGCTAGTATAGTACTCTTAGGAAACTGCTATTTTGCTTTGCCCAGTAAAGCTCACATAGCATTCTCATTTTTCACTTGCTCTGCAATCAAATGCCTGTCTCTTTCAGTTTTCAGCACTACTTTTTATTTAGAAAGATGATTTGTAACTTAAAATTCTCTAGCTGCAACTATCTTGGTTGATTTCCTGTTCTTCTCTAGACTTAGCTGGTTAATAGTCTTTTTTGTCTGCATTTTAATTCCCTTTACAGTGGTGGTGGCCATTATTTTCTTGAATACCTCAAACAAGCCTCCATTACTGGTTGCGCGGTTTGATTCTGACCTCTAGCTCACCTCAGTCTGTAGTAGAAGTTACATTCCTTTCTTTCACTTTCCCTGTTAAGTATGTTGTTCTTTTTCTTTTATATCCTTGGTCACTGTAACATCAATACTTAATCAAGCCATTAGGTGTTCCAGTATGTTAGATATATGCCTACTTGTACTTAATCTCTTACCTCTCTGTCGTCACTTAGATGACATTTAATAGGCTACATTTCTCGTAGCCTATCCCTTCCATTAAATATTTCAGATGCTACATTATAAATCAGTCCTTAGACTTTCTGCACAGCTACAAATCATAAGAGCTAGTCTTGATTCGAAATGTTTTGTTTCCTGGGAAGCTGGGTGTTGTGGAATATATTGATTCTGTCTCCTGAAAGGCAGTGTGAACCATACTGCAATTACCTGAACTTTAAACTGAAAGGCAAATATCAGCCTTGGGATTTAAATTATTTATGAATCGTGCCTGCACATAGTTGTTTTTGTGAATTTAAGAGCAGCAGACAGTAACTGCACATCGCCTTCATTCAGAGGCCATGTAAAGTGGTCTGTTTATGTACTCCCATCATTTCTTCAGAAATCCTTGGCCAAGCAATACTCATGATCATAATCGGCTACATCTGATCTCCCCGTTTTCAGTGGCAGATTCAAACACACGGACCCATCCTTAAGAGTCTCCTAGACCTATAAACATTTGACCCCTCCGATTTGTGAACTTAGATACATTTTCAGATATCCAAGGCATCAAAAGTGTCTGAGCTGTGAGCCTGAATACAGCATTTGAAGCAGGGATTACTTTCTTCACAGCTAAGAAGAAAACTTCAGTCAACTGGCCATATAAATCATGGAGTGCAGTATGGTTTAATGCATGACACATCAGTGGATGGCCTAAATAGCACTGAGAGTTACAGCTTTTCTAGTATTGGTGTCAGGAAACTCTGGCCATATTAGCAACAAAGCCCATGTCGCACATATGGAGCTATCCTCTCCAGAGGCTGTAACAATGAATACGGGAATTATCTTTCACAGTGGAAATTTGGGAGAAAAATGACATGTGGCTGCAGTACGAAGTGGAAAGGTTCTGTTTGACACAACTGTGTAATTACACAAAGGATATATTTTCTAAATTTGGCTTATACATTAAGTTGTTTATATTCACAACTTACGTATTGAAGTTAACAGTTATGGCTTTGCCTACAATTCATAAGACCTTTTAAAATTTGCCTATTTTCTGCTCTACGCATTTCAAGCCTACTGTGATCATAAGTATTAACGCTTGCAACCCTCAGTGGAGATATATACTGATTTTTCATCAGCTACAAAGTTGTTTTTGACTTTACCAACAAGAAAAATTAAAAACATTTTTGTTTGCTTTTGTGAGATGCTGCTCTAAAGATACTGGACCATTGCTGTAAACTCACCTCTATGAACAGATGCTTGATCCAAGAGCATGATTCCAGGACTAGATCTGAAAGTGATTGTATTTCAGAAATTTTAAAATCATGTTTCTTATCTGTATGAATTGTGTTTAATTCTAAGGTCTTACGTGCACACAAAAAGATTTCCGACTATTTTGCATGAGCAGTGGGCATTTGTGGGGAGCGGGGGCTTATTTGCTTCCATGGAGTGAGGTCTTTAAGCCTCACAGTTCCTGTTTTCCCATCGGTACACGCAGCAGGAGTTAGTCTGTTACCGCTTCCCTTCTCCCAAGCTCCGGAGACATAACGGCAGGTACTGGGCACCAGCCAAAGCTAGTCTTAAACTCGGTAGCTCAGTCGCAGCCGAGAGGATGGCTGTGTTAGCAGGGAGCTCCGCATGGCAGCTGCCACGCTACCGGATAGATTTTGCAGCCTGGACTGTATTCTGAGCTGCCACGTTTTGCAGTTTGAAGACTCCGTTAGTTGCCTTTGCGCAAGCTGAAGCCGCGTTGTGCGGTGTAAGCGAGGGGTGGCTTTGCTTCCAGCGAGGCCATGGTAATCTGTGGAACCAGAGAAAACCAAAACCCTGGTGAAATGGGAACACGGTCATTCAGGAAGAACGCTGGATGTTCATGTCAAACTGCAAAGCTGGGGAGCCGCTGGTGCTGTTTACCAAGTCAATTCTTTTCCTTAGCGCTCTCCTTTAAACCTGTTTTTCCCTGTGAATGATGAGCCGTACAAATGCCTTATTTACTGTGCAGTGAAACTGTCCTCAAAGTAGGATTTTTAATCCAAAGATAAAAAAATTGGAAAAGTTTGAATTAGCAGAATTGCGTACCCTGAAAACGTGGGATCAGCAGGTACAGCAGAATTTATATGAAAGGTTGGTTTGCTGCACAAGCTTGAAAATTGATTCCAGCTTTTCTCTCATTTTCATCAGCGTAGGTGTTTACTGGCCCCCGTTTTGTAGAAAACAGACTTCTGCAAGATTTTTAGAAGTCAATAGAGTACTGCTTTATTTCATTTTAAATTGATATAAAATACACAGGATGTGTTTCTGAGCATAGGGACTTGCTTTTCATAAAGTTGATGGAAAGAACGTGAAGAGGGTGCTTTCTAAAATGTTTTACAGTTATTTTAAGGAAAACTAGAATTAAATTCTAAAAAGAAGAAAATTACTAGTTTTCTTAATCCAAAAGGTGCAGTTAGAGGCCGAAACTGACTTTAAACAAAAAGAATGTAATTTTTCTTTTTTCATTTGCATTCTTGTAGTTTGGGATTTTAAGTGAATGAAATTAAATTTAATCAAATGGATTATCCTTTTAAATAAAGTTATTTGTCTTTGCTCCACAAGGTCTTCCCTATACAGCCAGAATAAATACCTGCATATCAGCAGTACACTAGTTGTAGATTATGCTAAAGATGAAAAAAGAAAACTTGTATACCATATTTGGTAGAGCACATAAATGCTGCTGTTTAGCTCCTGTGATGAGTTTTTACTAAGCAGCCGTGTTTTCTTTAGCCACCTGCATTCAGCGGTGAGAAGATGCACAGCCCAGCACCTGTCGGACATTGTAGAACGTATGGGACCGGAGCGGATTCTGTCTGGAACCAAAGCTGTCGCTGATCGGATTTTCCCTGCAATAGCCAGGTTTGCACAGGATAGTTCACAACAAACAAGGTTAGTAAGGTTAATAGTTAAGGCAAGCACATTCCAGGTGGCTGAAACCTCTGCATAGCTCAGTGTGTGTTGTTCTGCAGTGACAGAGGATAGAGTCATGGAATCATTTAGGTTGGAAAAGACCCTTAAAGATCATCGAGTCCAACCGTTAACCTAGCACTGCCAAGACTGTTACGATAGCATATGTGACAGGAATTACCTGAATGCCTCCTGTAGCTGTGCCCACCCTGGCTGCAGGAAGAAGAGGGGCTCAAAAGGCATACTCTGCTGGGCACAGACAAGATACAGGCCACGGAGGAATGCTGGCACTGGGATCCACGCTGTCTGACTGACAAGGCTGGACCATCCTATTTAAAGATGGCTGAAATGGAAGACTGTTCTCATTAATTTGCTCGGTTGCTGATTAAATAGTGATTCTTGAGCATAGTTTTGTTGTGGGAGGATGAAAAGGCTGTCTGGTTACACGTATAGATAGCAATCTTCCTGCACTTTTATATTTTGGAATTACACACCTATAATTATCAATAGAGTTACAAAGCAAATCTGTGTTTATGGATATATATGTCATGGTCTGTTGCCCTGCAGGTATTACGGTCGAAAGATGCTCTTCAGTATGATGACTCATCCTGATTTTGATAAAACGCTTGAGAAGTACGTGCCGACCAAGGATTTGCCTTACATTAAGGAATCTGTTAGCAATCTACGTGAAAAGGTATGTGGAAAAGCCCTTGTTTATCAGCTGAGAAATGTAAACGTGTACTAGTGGCCGTTAGGTGCAGACAGTGAACCTACAGGGAATGGGGGGAGTGCATTCATCGCAAGACAAGTAATCAAGTGACTACATCATGGCACGGTACTGCTTGTTAGCTGCCCTGTCCATGCCTTTACTCCTTGCAGGTACACTGGGTGAAATGTACTTTGCTACTATGCTGCGCGTGGCTGTCAGACTTGCTTTTACAGGGTCTCCAGCAGTGCAGAACGGTACCAGCCACGTTAATTAACGGTTGCACCTTTGTGCAGGGTTTGGGGGAGATGCCGTTAGATACACCCTCAGCAAAAGGAAGACGTTCCCATACTAGCAGTGTTGGACATTCGAGGTCATCATCTACTTCCAGAGATGCTCTCAACATCACTGACAGGTAATGATCTTCAGTGTTCTACCCTGTTAGTAACTTGACCTCTAGGATAATAGCCTCACCACAAGAAGAGAGTATAGAAACATTCACAACAGGGTGGTGAAAATTAAACATACCTGAAAGAAAAGGAAAAACTTGACATGTCCCACATAAACTCTTTTAAATAGGGTCATTGGTGATATCAAAATGGCTTTGTGCATTTTGAAGTTAGGTTGTCTATTGACTGCCTATGAAAATAGGCCTGGAATTCACAGTAGATTCATGTCACCCATCAGTTCAAGATAGTGCCATTCAGACTCTATAGAACAAATGTGCCTAGTGGTAGCCACGGCACAAATTACCTGTTTGTGCACTCACCTGGACACTAAGTGTTTAGTTAGATCCTAACTAAAGGTTTTAGGTGATACTCCATCCATTTTTAGTTTTCTGTTTTGTCTTCTAATAGGTCTTCTACTGACCTGAAAAAGAAACCCCCCCAAAATTTAAACCAAGCCAAAAAACTGCATCCAAGAATATAAAGTTCGTAGGGGCTGTGACTGCCTCCAGGTTGAAGAAAGCGTGTCTGTTTAGGAACAGATTTCTTTAACACACTCTCTACTATTCAAAATAATAATTCCACATTTGATGGTAAATTTTGCTTTGGCATGTAAAACTACAAGTCCGCTTCCTTAGAAGAGGTGCTACTCACTGGATGATGCCAAAGACTCTCTTATCTTTGATTCAGGTACTTTTAGTGGCCTGTGATACACTAGCGGGACAGGAGATTTTGATGCCGCCTTTTGTTCTTGCAGAGCTGATAGGTTTGAATTTGAAAATGCAAGAAAGATGCTTATTCCATTCCCCATCAAAGACTTCTGTTCGCAAATTAGGAATGAGCTAGCGACTCTATCTGGACTGGTCTGTAAATGCAGGATACCTATCTGGACAGAGATGTGATTCCACAGATTTTATAATTCTTTCCATGACTGTCTAATATGATTAGACGCTACAGAAAATTTGTTATAAATATTCTGCGAAGAGTTGCTGAATTTCCACCTCAGCGTGGCATGTTGCTTAGGTACCACCTAGACTGGGATCAGTGTTTAAAGTACTTTGGGAATAAAGAATTAAACTACAGTAACTTTGGGAGGTTTTTTTTGACCCGTTGATGTGAGGGAAATTCACAACTGTTACTGGTCACAGACCCAGCTGCTCTCGTATAGAAACTTGAAATGGCACAGGGCTCCTGCCTCGTTGAGGCTTAACTCTTGTGTGATAGGTGTATATGCATTTAGAGTGGAATGTATATTGAGACTTTAGGAACAACAATTACTGTTAGGTGATTTTTTTTTTAAATCACCATGTTTGAAGTGAAAGTCCTTCATCAGAAGATTTTCTTTTTACTTGAGATACTTGCACTTACGTGGAAAGAGAATGTCTGAGATTAAAGATTCCTGTTTCAGCTTGCTTATATGTTCACTGAATAACTTCCTCCTTTCCAGTAGAGAGACTACAGAAGCCCGTGAAGTCACAAGAAAAACAGCTCCTCGCAATTCACTAGAAAGTGAAGAATATGTTAAAGACATTACAGGTTTATTGAATGCAAAAGACTTCCGCGATCGAATAAATGGCATTAAGCAGCTGTTATCAGATACAGAGAACAATCAAGGCTTTGTTGTTGCAAATATTGTCAAGGTAACTGTATGAAAACATTTTATTTCAAAGGTCTTTAAGTAGTGTCACAAAGTTTTCTGATAAAAATCTTGGCTCCCTCTTTCAATAAGAATGTCTGATTAACAGGAAAACATTGAGGAATAGGTGCGGTGTGCTCAAGGGGGAGATGTGTAAGCTACAAAGGTAGTAAAGGAAGTAAATAGGAGGAAGAAGCTGAAGCTTTCACTTAGGGATAGCACTCAATTATTTCTGGAATACTGCGTGCAGTTTTTCGTGCCGCTGCTGAGTAAATATCAGAGTATCGGAACAGGTTACAAAAAGAGCAGCAAGGATTAATCAAGATCTGAAAAACTGTCTCTGAAACACAGCTGCAAGTTCTGCCTGCTTTGTTTGTCTTAGGAGAAGGTGAGGAAAGGTCTTTTTTATGATAAAGTTTAAGGTAAGTATCCTTTCTAATAGGAAAGGCGGTTCTTTAGGAGAAAAATACTATGATGAGGTCCAACAGTTGTAAGCTAAAGATAGATATAATGAAAGGAAAACCAAGATTGTCTTCTAATAGTGCAGCGTCTTTGCTGTGGAACTATGAAATACTTCTGTGGAACTTCGCAATATCTTAACTGTGAATGTTTTTGAAATCTTTAAAACATTCTTTTTCCTAAATAGAGCTAGGTCTTGCTAAAAATACTTGCTTGCAGAAAATACTAGTCATACTGAAAGTTACAGATGGCTTATTTACCTCCCTTACATTGTATAGGAATGATTCAAATTCAGATGAGGTGAGATACAGTTGAATAAAGTACATTCAACACAGTATAAACATATCAAATGTTGCTTTACTTGCTAAAAAAAGTACCTCAGGTATTTGCATATCAGAGCCATCTTTTGCTAAGATGGACAATTAAAGTGTAATAATAAAGCAGGAAACGTAACATCCACCTCAAACATTAATTAATTCTGATGAATGCTGTACTTTTTCAGATCTTTGACGCTTTCAAGTCTCGCTTACATGACTCAAACAGTAAAGTAAATCAGGTTGCTTTGGAGACAATGTACAAGATGATTCCATTGCTGAAAGACAATTTATCACCTGTGATCAACATGTTAATTCCTGCCATGGTAGACAACAATCTGAACTCCAAAAATCCAGGGATTTATGCAGCTGCCACAAACGTTATTCAGGCTCTATGTCAACACTTAGGTAAGTAATTTACTCTCTCCTAATTTTATAGAGTTTTAATTGTATTAATTAAATTCTAAATTTAAAGAGTTACTCTTTCCAATAGTTTCCATCCAATCATTACCTTGTGTCACGAATCATTGGTTTTGTTCTCACACTTCAAACCATACAAGTCATCTTAATATTTTGCCAGTCCAGTAAGGAAATAGAGCTAGCTGGACCTGTCATACGTGCGTAGGTGGTTTTGTTGTTTTTCCATAGCAGGTGTGTTTTGCTGTGAGCGTTCACCAAGCGCGGCTGTGGAGTCTCCATCCTTGGAGATGCTCACAAGCCATCTGGACACAGTCCTGGGCAACCGGCTGCAGTGGCCCTGCTTGAGCAGGGGGCTTGGACCAGATGACCTCCAGAGGTCCCTTCCTTCCTCAATCATTCTGTCTGATTCTGTGTTTCATTATCCGCAAGCTCGTCACACTGCTGAATCTCTTAAACAGGTCGAAGAACTAGATTCTTGCTGGTTTGTGTATACCACAACTATTTCCCTTCCTCAACTATTTTAGCTTTGGAGCAGAATCTTAGTCTTTTCAGTAAATGAATATTCTACGTTCTACCAGATTCTAGGAGTTACGGCTTGTTAAGAGTATCTTTTTATGCTTTTATGCCCTTAAATACATCACTGTTTTTTGAAGTTAATATATCAAAAGTAAGGTTGTTATTTTTCCATATTGTGTTTATTTCCAGACGTTTAATTTTGTGTTTAAGAATTTTACCGTGTTTTGTTCTTTGCATTTAGACAACTACTTGCTCCTCCAGCCATTCTGCACAAAAGCCCAGTTTCTGAATGGAAAAGCAAAACAAGACATGACAGAAAAGCTTGCTGGTAAAGCGATGTCTTACTTTGCATGTCTGTTTGTGTACCATCCTAATTAGGCAAATTCCTTGTAGGATGGTGGTGGCTATCCATCTTCACTTCTGTCACAGTAGATTGTGGGCATTAACGATGCAGCAGTTGTCAAATTTCACCCCCTTCTAATGCAAATTGAAGCTATTGCTGACAAAACAAGAGAGTATTATTACTATATAGTCAGATGGAAGAGGTATAAATACCTGGAAGATGTATAAATACCTTAAGCTAATAATAATTTTGGTATGGAATCAGAGAGAATGAGTTTTGTTTTGTAATGAGTTTCATTCTATCAGTAAGTGAGTGGGTTGTACCGTATTGAGACTTGGGTCCCCACATGCCTACCTCTGCCCGGTCGGCAGGCAGAGGTAGGTTCCTGTGCAGGGCCAGGGGCGAGGGGCTGACGGAGCAGCGGAGGCTTGCCTGCTTCACTTGCTTGCTTCAGGTCGTATTCCCTCTCGCAGTACTCCCTCCCTCAGACTCTTGCCGGGAAGAAATGAAAAGAATGAGTGACTGCTTTTTCTGATGTTTCCCAGCACAGAAAATGCACTGTTCTCTGAGGCTGGCTCCTACTACCTCCTGAATTTTACTTCTGTACCTTTTTACTTTTCACAGTTGGTCTCGTTCTCATTTTAAGGCTCTTGATAATACACATTGGTGTTCAGTCATAAAGGAGACAAGCTGGCAAGCTGAGCTGCAGTCACCACAAAGACGGCAGACTTCACAATGGTCTTCTTCCTAAACTGATGTCAAAAGCTTGAAGGCAAATTTGGTTAAAAATTGAAGACAAATTTTAATTAGAATTTATACACGTATTTTAATATTGGGGATTATTACTAGCAGAAGTGCTGAATTTTTCTTCGATGTTTTAAGTGGACAAGGGATGTCTTTATGGGAAATATGCTTGAACCAAACAGACATTATTTGGCTTACTTTCAGAGTAGTTCTGTGTGTAGTAGCTATGAAATTGAACTAAATAACATAACGGACGGTCTGTTCTTGAACTATTTCTAAATTTATGCTTTCTGAATGTGTTAGTCACCAACCTTTAAACAGTTCATCTCTTGCTGGGATTTTTTGGAGGAGTTTGTATTATATATCGAAGAGTCCATTCTAGCAAAAAGGCAAACATTTGCAAATGAAATACTTAATTCATGATGTAATTGTCTAAGTAAGGAAAATGCTTCATCTTGTATATATTTATAGTATAAGGCTACTTTGTTCCTTAAACTCAAATACCCACTGCGTATTTCTGAGATAGAGGGGAAATCATAAAGTATCAGATGTTACACAGTGCACTGTGAGAAATAAAGGTCCTTATGATAATCCTAACTAAAAAAAAGCTCAAAAAAACTTTGTTTCTTTTACCTGTTTTAATTTAATGGAAAATTGTAATTATCAGCAGTACCAGCACTGCTGTGTAAACTCCTGAGAGGATAAAAGGGGTGTTTGTAGCTGGTATCTTTTATCGGAGGGCTGATGCTGTCGCAACAACAGACAGGCTCTTGTGCATAGCAAGCATTCCTTCATTAGTTGCTTTGGGAAGATGAATTTGACATTAAGTGCTTTTAAACACCTCTTCAAAGCAGGGGATCGCTTCTGAATTGTATTTTAAAAATACTGCTTGACGACCTGTTGTCTTTCTTGCAGATCTTGTTACAGAGTTATACCCACGGAAGCCTTACGCTGTGGAGCAAAAAGTTCTAGCTGTCCTTTGGCACCTCCTGGGAAATATGACAAACAGCGGCTCTTTGCCTGGAGCTGGGGGAAATATCCGGACAGCCACAGCAAAACTATCGAAAGCACTTTTTGCACAGATGGGTCCAAGTCTGTTAACTCACGCTGCATCTCAGCCACCGCACATCAAGAAGAGTTTAGAAGAATTTTTGGAGATCGCAACCTAAAATAACGATCTTTGCACGCGCGTGAACCTCAATCAGCCGACTGACTCGGACAGATGGACAGCCGTTTACAGGGAGGGACGTGCGACCGTCCCCGCGTTGCTGGCGCGCAGTGCCCGCGCTTCCCATGCAGAAGGGCCGCCGCCGGGAGAGCCCGCGGAGCGCTGGGC